CAGGCATCAGCGAGGCCCTTCCTTCTGCAGAGTGGGCATGAGGTGGGCATGTGCCTGGCTGAGGGTAGGCCTTCAGCCCGCTGCACCGGTGGGCACGCAGCCCGGAGCCCCACTGGCCTGGCTTTGGCAGGAGGCGCCGTGGCTCAGCGGGGTCTGTTCAGTCTCCTTCCCACACCGGCTCCCTGCGCACCTGCTATGCACAAACCCCATTGACGCCCACAGGCCGGCGGCAGGGCTGGGCCGGGCAGCTCCTGGAGGAGCCCCTGGGGCTGGGATGAAAGCACACTCATTGCTGGGGTCCCTGGAGGCTCTCCCACCCACCTCCCCCACTGGAGGGAAGCGCCCGCCCTGCCACAACCCCACCCCCTGACTGCCAGGGGCTGGGGGCGCACTCAGGGAGGCCGTCTCCCCCTCCGCTCTGGCCTCCCCCGGGGAGCAGAGACTGAGCCAGTCCAGGTGGGCCTCGGGTTTGGATAACCGTCACGCAGAGAGGGACTGTGACTCTCCCCAGGGTGCACAGCACCTATGATCAGCGTCGCCATGGAGGCCCTCAGTCCCGTCGCCCCCAACGATGGTGCGTGCAGGAGGGGGTGCCGGGGAAGCTGAGCTCTCCGGGCAGGCTTCTCCGCGATGGCGGTGGGAGAACCTCTGGAAGGAGTGAGCTCCCCGTCAGCAGAGGGGTCCCAGCAGCCCACAGAGGGCCTCCCGCATGAACAGAGGTGTCTAGGTGACCCCGAGAGTGTGCTGGGCGCACTGGGTACCCCTCGGGCTCAGCTGCGTTGGGGGGAGCAGGGAGCCGGCGGCTGTGCTTTCCTGCCTGGGCGGGGGGCTGTCGGCCACGGGCTGTGCAGGGGGTGCAGCCTGCCTACCGCAGGGGGGGTCTGTGCACGGCCAGGCCGGGCCTCCCTCTGACGGGGCGACCTGGGGCCCCTGCAGGGGGCACCCTGCCTGTGCCCGTGGCCTGCCCTCCGTGTGCCTCGGTTTCCTCATCTGTGAAAGGGCGATGTCCTGCCGCCTGGAGATGCCCACCTGGCACCCGCAGGGTCGCCTCACCACCCGTGGAAGGCAGGGCTCTGACAAGGCTCTTCGGCCCTGACTGGTGGCTCAGCGGTCAGAGCGCTGGCCCTGTCCGCCCGCTGCTGCGCTCACCCGGCCCTCACAGCCCAGCCAGCACCTAACCAGGATTTCACAACCCCTGGCTCGGGGCCCGGGCTGCAGCATCCTGGGGAGAAGGAACACAGGGCCTGGGGTGCCTCCGGGAAACAGGGGCGTCCCTCCCAGAAGATGGATGGGCTCGCCAGCAGGGCGAGGGAAGCCCTTGGGGACCTATGAGTGGGGGCGTGAGGCTGGGGAGGGCAGGGCTGGGTTTCCAGAGAAAGGGAGGGAAGGAGACCCATGTCTCAGGCGCAGGAGCAGGCCCTGCCCTGGACGAGGGAGGCGGAAGTGGCCGTTGCCTCACCCGGCAGGTCACTCCTCTACGCACGGGCACCCCACCTGCTCCGGGGCGGTCCTATGGCATCCCACCCGGAGCTGGCCCCGCCGGGCTGGCAGGGAGGCCCGGGCGGGGGGGTGGCCCCGCGCATGCGGCCTGG